ACCTAAATCTCCTTGGATATACTTTGTTAGCTGGTAAGCCCTGATAGGCCTATAATATAGAACCTATACAGGGTTGCTGTAAAATACAGCAGTGCGCAAGCGGAAGCGGGAGGATACGACGGCAGTGCCGAAGGAAGGTAAAGCACTGTAATACAGTGAGGTATAAGGAATAAGAATTGCCTTTATTACCCTTGGCCTTGGCCTTTGGCCTTAGCCTTAAGCTTTTGCCCTTAAGGAAAGAAAGAAAACTATTCTACAGGAGAGAGGAGAGGTCTATATATAGGCCTTCGTAAGCCTACTGTGGGTCCTGTAGGCCCTGGAAGCCCCTATACCACTTTGGGGTATTTGGTGGGCTTAGGTGGGTCTAGTGTAGACTCACGGAAATCCATAGAACCTTCGGCAGCAGAGGTGCCCTGTAAATCACACCATTGTGGCAACTTACTACGTAAGCCTGTAGCCACTTTGGAAGGTTCTAGTATCTATTGACTAAGCCTCAGGCCACAGTAGCCCTGTAAGCCTTCAAGGGTCCCTTGTAAAGAACATTTTAAAGGGATCCAAGCCGGGAAGTTCCATTACTGCTTATAGCAGTACTGCCCACTGTAATATCAATCTGTAGGGCAGTAAGTAGGGCACTTAGTAGTACCCACACATTAACATACTTATTAACTTAGTAGTATAGTATATAGTACGTCGACCGTTACGTCGAAAATATAAGTTCGATTTTTATTTAAGTTTTAATCGGTTTAAATATTATTAATAAAATTCTTTTTATTTATTTAAGTAATTAAAATTTATTTTTAACTTCTACGAGTTATTTATAGCCGGATATTTTAATTAATTAATTAAATACTTTAATTAGTTTCTATTAAACCGTAAATCTAATATTTTTTCTATATTATATTTTTTTTTCGTCCTCCGTTACTATTTACATATTAGCTTTATTTATTAGTAGTACAGGTTTTAAAAGTAAAATATAAAAAGTATATAACCGTAGATATATTATACTAGGTAGTTTTAATTCGAATACTGTTTTTAAGATTTTCCTTTTAACTTTAAATAAACTTACTCTCCTATAATTTAGCTTCTTATTAGGTCTTTTAATACATAAATTACGTATAGAAAAGAATATTATATCCCCCCTCTTTAAGCGAGGTCCCTCGAACCTTTTAATAATATAGTATTTCCGTATCCTTTCCTTTATAAACTTTAATTTTTATTTAAATTTACCGTAAAATATATATAGTTTATTTACTTTAATCTTAACCCTAAGCTACCTTAACGTTAGGTCCTTACCGTAGGTTTACTTTATATTTAAAATTTATAAAGAATAGTATAATTTTAATTATTTTTATTAATAATATATTATATATTAACTATACCGTAAATAATAATTTAATTTAATTATTTTATTTAAAATTAATATAATTCCGTAAATACTATTTTATAATTTAATTAAACCGTTCCGTTTAACCGTCCGTTTAAAAGTAATAAACCGATAACGCTTTATTTATTATCCCGAGTTTTGTTATTAACGCTCTTTAAAATTTCGATACTAAATTTAGTATCGCGGTCCGTAATAAAAGTTTTTAATTATATATATATTAATATAATATACCGTAATACTATATCCGTTAATTACTTTACCGACTAGGTTCCCTTCTAAAGTAAAAAATTTATTTATTTAATAAACTTATTAATTACCGGTTAATATATTATTATATTTAACGTTAATTACTATATTTTTTTAACTTTAGTAATTTAAATAATAAAGTTTATTATAATTAAATTTTATAGTCGTTTCGTTATTAATAATAATTTTAGAAATCCGTAAAGCTTATACTTCGTAACCTTCGTTTTCTCGTACGTATAGTATAATTAAATAACTTCTTTAACGTCGTTTTTAATTTTTAGTTAATTAAAGTACTACTTAATTTTTTTTTAGTTTTTACGATACTTATATATCTTCCGAATTTTAATTTATAAATCTTTATTATTAGTATCTTTTTATTACTTAATATTATATATATTCGATTTTTATACTATAGTTTTTCCTAACTATCTTTTTAAATACTTTATCGCTCTAATTTTTTTTACTAATATTATTCTATAATATTATTATTTAAGTTTCTTTAATATTTATTACTAGAAGTGGTTTATTTATAATATATTACGTAATATTCTATTTACGGCTAAAGTAAATACTTAAAAGTGCCCTCTAAAATCTTTTTAAGTAATAGTAGTAACTTCCTAGGTATATCCTTATAGTAGTCGGCTCGCTAGTTAAATACGTTTACTTTAGCGTTCTCCGAACTTTTTTTATAGTTAATTTAAAAATTAAATTCCGAAAGAAACTTTAATTATTACGTTTACCGTACGTTAAGGACCTTCGTAATAGTAAAATATTATAGGTTTTTATAATCTATATAGACCTATACTTTATAATTGTTAATGTGTGGGTACTACTAAGTGCCGTACTTACTGCCCTACAGATTAATATTACAGTGGGCAGTACTGCTATAAGCAGTAATGGAACTTCCCGGCTTGGATCCCTTTAGAATATTCTTTACAAGGGACCCTTGAAGGCTTACAGGGCTACTGTGGCCTGAGGCTTAGTTAATGGATACTAGAACCTTCTAAAGTGGCTACAGGCTTACGTAGTAAGTTGCCACAATAGTGTGATTTACAGGGCACCTCTGCTACCGAAGGTTCTATGGATTTCCGTGAGTCTACACTAGACCCACCTAAGCCCACCAAATACCCTAAAGTAGTATAGGGGCTTCCAGGGCCTACAGGACCCACAGTAGGCCTACGAAGGCCTATATATAGACCTCTCCTCTCTCCTGTAGAATAGTTTTCTTTCTTTCCTTAAGGGCAAAAGCTTAAGGCTAAGGCCAAAGGCCAAGGCCAAGGGTAATAAAGGCAATTCTTATTCCTTATACCTCACTGGAATTACAGTGCTTTACCTTCCTTCGGCACTGCCGTCGTATCCTCCCGCTTCCGCTTGCGCACTGCTGTATTTTACAGCAACCCTGTATAGGTTCTATATTATAGGCCTATCAGGGCTCACCAGCTAACACCTTTAAATCCTCGCACTTAGCCCTCTAATAGTCGTATTTACGCGTAAAACGCGTACGGAGCTATGGCTAGCGTTTAATAAAGTTATATGCCCAGAGCTTACTAATAGGGGGCGCGTCGTGTACGCGTAGTAGTTAGTTAGCTATATCTTCCACACCACGCAATCTTGCTGGAAAAGCTCGCGCATATAGCTTAATAACGTATTAAACAATAGCATCCTCTTCTAATTAAGTAAGCTTTTTTGAATTGGGCGTGGTGTCGCGTCGTGCAGGCTTACTAGCGCGTCGCCGCGAAAGAGTTATACGATCAGTGTTATAGATCTTAGTAGCGGCCCGTACACTTAGATTTTCGTTATTTTGAAGAGTTTTAAGGGCCAAGTTTACCCTAGCTTCGTATAAAGTGGTAGGCATAGTTGGTTGTTGTCGAGTGGCATGTTGTAGGTGGAGGGTCGCGTCGCGTCGAAAAAGTGGCTCACTCGCTTATATGGCTCACTCGCTTATAATGTACGTTATATGGAGGAACTAGATGGGTAGCAGATAGTTCCGCAGTATGCAATACAAGTCACATTCGTTGGTTTGAAGACTATTGTGATTGAGACAAGCCATTGTTGTGCACTGTTTAGCTGCACCGAACCAGATTGTCTGAAAGCGCCTTCGACTGAGTATCCCTTTCAGAGGTTCTGGATAGGGGTTCGTCACAGACGTCGTTATAGCTAAGCTTTACAAGTCCATTTAGAAAACCGTTTAAAAGGCCCATTTTGCAGGCCAAAAGATCGCAGCCTTAATAAGGCCAAAGGTCGGGATGGTGAATTGGTGGCTCCGATTATCGAAGTAACTTTGCAAAAAAATCGAAGGAGTAAGGCGAGATGAAGGTTGGAAAGTGTCAAAGAGCTCGTGTTCTGGTGAGAATGCCCGAGTGAAGGACGGTACAGAGAAGGGCGACAGCGCAGTGATGGATACTGCCCCACATCTCTGCTGATATCAGCCTTCCATCCAATCAAACAATTGCAATTCCAATCACCTTCTCTCCTCTTCACGTCAACTGCTTTGCAATTTGCCGCCGCCCCATGTCCTCTCAACCAAGGCACAAGACTTCCCGACGACCAAGATGTACCGGATTCCTAGCTTGCCGGCAAAGAAAGAACTGCGATGAACACAAACCTGTCTGCTTGGCCTGCGACAGGAATTCCCTGATCTGCACCTACCTATCAGCACCCTCTCGATCCCCATCACAGCCCTCCAAGCCGGCCGCTCTATCTCTTCCGACTGGTACCAAGACAACTATACTCGTACTTGAACTGAACAGCTCACCTAATCACTTATATCACCTTTAGAGACCTCGACTCCCAATTATAGCAAAAATCCATATCAAGGTCAAACACGGTCCCGGAGCTCGCTTCCGATGTGGAAGGCCCAAATGTGCCGACCCTGCAATACTCGGAATTGTTCCTCTTTGCTTGGTGGACAATAAGCCTGCAGGGTGTCTCCCCTAATTCGTCCTCAGACTCGGAGCTCTCGTAGTTTATCCTCCCGAGCAGGACAAGAGTCAGGTCCTGTTTCCAACTCTGGTAGGGATCGTTGACGTCTGGATTGAGGAAGAAGTCGAGGTGGTAGCTGAAACAACTTTGTTGTCGCCAGGCCGCTCGAGATAGGAATTTCCGGTATCACTCAATCTTGTCCCATCGCAGTCATCGTCGTCGTCCGGCAAATGGTGCCACCCAAGAGCAAGCGGGTACACTCTTGTCTTTATGAGCAGTGTTGCGCCGGAAATCTTACCATACTTGTCCATCCCGGACGGTACCGTCTGTGCTTTTAAGGTATCATATTGCATGCGAAGGACTGCAGATGACCTCGCCGGATAGAGATTGCAGCGGCCAGGCCCGAACCCTCTTACTTTGCCCACTGCACTGCCGCCCGCCGGTCTTACTACCCAGCTCCAGCTGGCCCAATGCATGGATCATCAAGAGACTGCAGCAGCTCTGCAAAAGAGCTGCGAAGCGAGTCCTTCATCTTCCAGAACAGTCCAGCTAGCAGATCCCCTTTCCACAAACCAGCCACGTACTCGTCGTCCAGAGCCGTCGCGAAGATCTGCGCTGTGCCAGAGAGCGCAAGTAGCGAGTCAGCCAGATAGATGGCTTGTCTTCCCGAGAACTGGGTGGCAATCTTCTGGTTCCAGTTTCGGTACATATCCGCAGCGGATGTGTCTTGCACGATGCCGTGGACAGAAGAGTTCAGAGGCTCTTCCAAGACCCCGCCGTACTCCCAGACGAGCCCGGCGCCGCAGCTGAAGTAAAGACCGGACTGCGCGAACAGAATCATCCGCCTTGAGAGTGTCGCCTCCTGGAACGTCCAGGCGCGCGAGGCCCATTGTGTGCTGTCGAAATGGAGACGGCTCCAGGTATCGTGTTCGAATCCGCGAGGAAAGCACCGGGAGACGAAGCCCGGTCCGATCTCGTAGCACTCCACTCCTCTGGTCTGAACCATGGTGTCGAAAGGGATGTTGGCGCGAAGTTGGTCGTCCGGCAGGAACCCCTGCTGACAAGACCGTGACTTTAGGTTGCAGATGGTCACTAGGCGTTGCCATAGATCTTGTGCATGAGGGACGACTCGAGATCCCAGTCGGTAGCGTCGCCCTGCAGAATGCAGAGCGCGTCAATCCACAGGTATGGAATGCCCAAGGCTCTGGTCACTATCACAGCGTCTTCCTGCACGGCCGACATCGCGTCGAGAGGAAGCCGGATTGGAGCTGCGTCTGCGTGTCCTTGGTAATTCGTAGTTGTGATAAACCTTCTGATCGGCTGCCCCAGCAGTAGCTCAGTGTGGCGTACTGTCTATCGCCTGCTTCGAGTTGTTTCAAGTCTGAATCATGTCGAGCCTCGACGACGCGTAACTGATCTTGACCAACGTGTATGAGGCGGGTTGGAAGGAAGCCTTTTGCATCAGGAAGTGCGTGTTCGCATGTATTGTTGTGTCGAGGGAAATTTTTTGCCGTTTTCGGACTCGCTCCCAGGGTGTATGGTTAACGAGCGGTAGCCCACCCCTCTCTCCAACACGATTATTTTCGGCTTTGATTCGAAAATAATATTCAGACTATAAGTTGATTAAAAATCGGTTTATAACGTTTAAGATATAGAGTAATGTTGAATTTGGTCGATGAGAGCGCTGCAAATGCAGGAGTCTCAAGAGGGTGAAGCAGTTACCTAAAAACTGGCGAGCCTCGAACTGTGCTGCTGAATACGGCGACGTAATTGTTGAAGGAAGAAAGTGTATTAGAAAGTAATTATCTGTAAATACAGAAAGTAGTGTATTGATATATTGTGGTTTCACACGTAAAATACTGTAAATAACTAGTTGTATTAACTAACTTAACTTATCTTAAGGAGAGAAAGAAGCAAGAAAACCATCACAACAGGAAAAGGGCTCTTAATGAGCACCTGAACTTCCCTATCATCCTTATCGCTCCCTATCGCTCAGTGGTCCCAGTTGGCTTGGATCCATGGTTCGGTAAGGTCACAAGGGCCCAGTTTGCCGATAAGGTACTCGTATCTCATCGTGAGGCTTCTGAGTCCCCTTGTGATCTATAGCATGATGCTATTGTTCGGAGGTCCGGTCAGGAGTTCTGGCAGCCGTTGGGAGCGTTGTGGGCGCAGGATCAATGATGTTGAGATTGCTGGGAAATTCCATGAATAAGTGCTGCATTTTAACAAAATATTACGGATAGGTTAAAGCGACTCGAAATGTATTAAACATCTCGCAAGAAACCAATCGTAAAAACACGTCCCGAATCACAGCCAATGGATATCATCCGCCCTTGGATGGCAGAACAGCGCGCGCGGTATTCCAGTGGTAGCGATAACACTTTTCGGCCATTGCAAATAATCCAGGACCCATCCTGTCCTAAGCCGTACCCATGCCACCTTGGATCGTCAGGCTGAATTGGGCTTTCCGTAACTGTAGCGATTTTAATATACCCGGCATTGGTAATGAGGCGGCGGCTGGTACCGTTAAACGATATGTAGGTTACGGAGGTACCGACATTGATAGCTTTAAGGCAGGTTCCCGAGGCCGCTTCCCAGATCCGGATGGTCCCGTCGTCCGACGCCGATACGATTCGGCTACTATCCGGCGAAAACGCTACCGACCGAACCCAATTGCTATGGCCTTCGAGCTTCCGTACCTCCTTACCCGATTTCGTTTCCCAGATCCGGATAGTCCAGTCGTCCGACGCCGATACGATTCGGCTACTATCCGGCGAAAACGCTACCGATAGAACCAAACCCAATTGCTATGGCCTTCGAGCTTCCGTACCTCCTTGCCCGATTTCGCTTCCCAGATCCGGATGGTCTGGTCGTTCGACGCCGATACGATTCGGCTACCATCCGGCGAGAACGCTACCGATAGAACCAAACCGCTATGGCCTTCGAGCTTCCGTACCTCCTTACCCGATTTCGCTTCCCAGATCCGGATGGTCTGGTCGTTCGACGCCGATACGATTCGGCTACCATCCGGCGAGAACGCTACCGACCGAACCGAACCGCTATGGCCTTCGAGCTTCCGTACCTCCTTGCCCGATTTCGCTTCCCAGATCCGGATGGTCCCGTCGTCCGACGCCGATACGATTCGGCTACTATCCGGCGAAAACGCTACCGACCGAACCCAATTGCTATGGCCTTCGAGCTTCCGTACCTCCTTGCCCGATTTCGCTTCCCAGATCCGGATGGTTCCGTCGTCCGACGCCGATACGATTCGGCTACCATCCGGCGAAAACGCTACCGACCGAACCGAACCGCTATGGCCTTCGAGCTTCCGTACCTCCTTACCCGATTTCGCTTCCCAGATCCGGATGGTCTGGTCGTTCGACGCCGATACGATTCGGCTACCATCCGGCGAGAACGCTACCGACCGAACCGAACCGCTATGGCCTTCGAATGTTTGAAGACACGGACTCCAGTTTTGCTCGACGACTGGCTTCGTTAGCACCCAACTAGGTTCTTCTCCGGCGAATAATCGACGGATGGTACTGTTAGCTGGAGTGAAGAGCAGCGCTGATATGTATGTCTGTAGTGGAGCCTGTTCGATAATCCACCGGTTCAGTAAAATAAACCGATATGCGTCTTCGATGAGGTTTATAAAAGGGTCTACCCTCGTCTAATCCGTCAATTTAGTTCCGTTGTTCGAACTAGCAGGGAGTCGGCACTTACCTCGACAATGGTTCTGAGCCTAGTAAGAGAGAGGACTCCGTTCGCCATATCGCCGAGGAGACTCAAAGCTTCAAGCCAGTGCAGGAAATGGCGGTGGAAGAACGTCTTGATCAACTCTCTTATTCGGATACTCTTGGATCCTGCGGCATGCTGCCTGAATGTCTTTAGCCGATAACGCAGCGAGCCTTGTAACTCGGCCTTGTCCGCTTCACAAACGTGGTCAATCCAGTATGCACAGGAGTATCCCACTCCAAGTAAAGGATCACTTGCGGGCGGCCGCGCCTGCATATCATGGATGAGTGTTCCTGGATGCTTCAGTTGATACACGTCTCGCCGTAGTGCGTTCTCCATCGCGGCCAAGGATCTTTCGACGATGCTGAGTTGAACAGCATGTTTCCCAGACGAGAAAATCTTATCGACGGCGGCGTGGCTGACTAGGTAGTCCTTGGCCGACTGATGAATCGGATAAACGTGGTTCTCCACCAGCGTAAGAAAGGAACCGCACATGTCGACAATCTTCTCCAGATCAGCGGTGTCATATACGAGTCCGGCTAGTGTTCGGAGCTCGAGAATGTGGAGTGGGCGGTACGCTAAAGTTGCGATTGAAAGCACAGTAAGACACGCGTCCCGGTAGCCGTCCCTAGACTTGGCAATATCTCCCATCATCCTATCGTAAAGCGGCGGTAGACCTGACGGTATCTCATCGATATAGCGAGCAGCATCATCGGCTAAGACGCTATGGATAGATCGCAAGATTAAATCGACCCATAAAAAGGTACCCTCAGCCTTCTCGAGTAGTTTTTGCTGGACGTTATCTCGCTGAGTAGGGTCGGATCTAAGCGACGGGAGTTGGTCTACCTTGTGCTCGATGTAGGCTTTGATCGCCTGAGACACGGCTTCCGAGTTCACTTCCAGACTTAACTTTGCACCTGGATTCTCTAGCGCAGGGCCCTCGTCAATGTCGACTCCATTGCGGCTTGTCACGATCCACTTCAGGCGGTTTTGTTGGAGGACAGTGTCTCTAATCAGGCCTAGGAGGTTCGGCAGGCCGTCTTCGCATTCATCGAGAGCGTCAACAGCCAAGTAGACGGTTTCCGACCGCGAGTGCTGGATCATTTGCCTAAATACGTTTGACAGTACGTCGAAGGCGTTAACGTTTTTAGTGGCGTCGAAGATTTCCCTGCCCATTCGGTCGTAGTCGGTCTTAAGGTATAAAACGAGATTAACGTCCTGGATCAGCAAGAGGTATATAAGCCCTTTTAGGATGGCGACTGCATTATTTAAACGGTCGTCAGTATTCTGACAGAAGAAGAACGATAATAACGAGCTAGTGGCGGTGTGGTCGGGTTTGGTTCGGGATTGAAGTTGCTTAATGATTGTGGCCAACAGCATCGTCTTCCCCTTGCCGGCACCGCCCTTGATCCAGAGTAGCTTGGTTTCACCGTCTCGCCACTTCTGGTAATTGGGGTGGGAGAGAATCCAGCGGGACGAATCTTCATATAGAGGCCCCTTCGTTCTTTCAATACGTAGCTTGTCGATGGTGGGATCGGTCCACCTCAGGTCTTTGAGTAGGGAGTCTCGTTCGGTTTCGCAGGTAGCGGACAAGTGAATGCCTGTTCGATGTTAGAGATTTCCTCAGTAATCGGTCCTGGAGAGATACCTTGTGGTAACGATGTCGGGATTGCTGACACTTCTTCTATTGCCTCCCGTATTACCGCCGCGACACTGGTCTCTGTGGGCAGTTCCGCCACGCGATTGCTGGTCAAAAGTTGGACATCCTCCAGTATGCCCTTCATGAGCGTCTCCACTGTGTCTCCTTTACCCAAGGTACGGACCGCATGCACGTATCGCTCCATTCTCGAAGCATCAGCCTGTGGCACAACACTCTTAAATATTTTGTCTAGTTGTGTTGCCCTATTCTCGCAGCGCTCTAAGACAGGCTTTATTGCCTTGCAATATTCTTCGTCGGGGTTGGTGTTATTGAGGTTTCTGGAGACAGTCTGGAGGGTTTTGCGGACAAGAGGGAGCCGTATCACAATATCGCGGAAGGCTTCTGGGAGGCCTAAGGCATCGTTGGCGGCATTGTAGACCTTCGCAGTGGCGTCGACAATGGCGATGATGCCAGAGATGATGCCGATGACCTCGGCGCCCGACATGTCTCACGGTTCCTACAACAAATGCAGTTAGACTCTTGGCTCCGTTAGGTAGGATACTCCACTAGACGGGAACATGCGAATTAGAGCGTTCGAGGAGCTGCTTATGATAACTAGGCGTCGTTAGACGGGTTTGGCGTGCTGTGTTCTGGTCAGGCCGCGGAGTCGATGCTGGCCTCGATTGACGAGATCGGGCTGCGGCATTTTGGGCGGTCGGTAGCGCATAGCTGCCCCGCGTTACGCCGTACGGGCCAATCGAGAAGCGCAGGTGTGAGTCGCTGTTGTGAGGCGGCGCTTGCTTAACAAATAGGAATTCTGAGAGGTTGTTTTCGGTGTCGAGGAGTCACCTTTGCGTATTCTTAAACTGTAGACGCTCAGCCGCACATTCTGCCGCGAAAGGGAACTTGCTCTGCCTATGCACACAAAACTGGCGTCTGCTCTAGCACTCTTTTAAATGTTTAGGCACGGACCAAATGTACTTCAGGGACATTCAGGTACACTGCAACACCAGTAATAGCTGACATTGCCAGCTTCTTGCATCGCGCAAACAAGAACCGTAAAAACTAAATACTACAGGTGGTCTTGCGTGATGTTCCACACAGTAACAACGGGCCGCTGCTATAACTAGTTCAGTGGGTAATCCGGGCAAAGTGAACGAGCGTGTTGTACCCACACTCCCGTTTTTTGTAAGAGACCTGTGTGATTTAACCTATTATATCACGACCCTGACACATGTGGGGCGCAGAACGGCACCCCGGCCAATTGGTGGATAAGCCAATGAGAAGAGGTTCACCATTAACATGCGTGATAAGCGGGCCGACCGGATAAGCGAGCCGACTACTTTCCAACACCCTACCATAACTATCCTTAATTACAATACACTACCCTACGAAATAACAATAACTGAATTAGAAACAGATAAATCAGATGATTCTGCAGCCTCCTGGCATATGCGTACATTATAGCCAGGCTTGTCGCACACACTACAGAACCGAACCTTCATACGGGACCCCCCTGCACTACCACCGTTTTGTCGTGTTTCCTGGATTACCTGCTCACCCACGGCCTTCTAGTTAACCGGGTCTTATGCCTCTTATACAGTAAGTGATCCTCCACGCTATATACGTGTTTTCTTGGCTCTCTGTCTCTTAATTAGGCCCTTATTAGCCTTGCATAGCGAAGAGACCTCTGTACAATGTCACAGTTAACCCAACAGCAGGTCGCGCCACATGTGGGTCGCAGGACGTCCCCAGCCAATCATTAGGGAAGTCAGGAAACAGCCAATCAGGGGTGTGGACAAAGTGCTATGGCACCAAGGCCCACGAGCACTCTGCAGGATGCAAGATGCTAAGGGTGATCGGAGGCATAGCACGACGAGCACGTTGCAGGATGCAATGTGCTAAGGGTGATCGGGGCCGTAGCAGGGCGAGCACCTCACGGTCCCAAGGTCTATATATACGGAGGAACTGGCTGGTGTAGATAGACCGTTCCGCAGTATGCAATTACAAGTCACAATCGTGGTATCTTAGCTATTGTGATTGAGACAAGCCATTTGTTGTACACTGTTTAGCTGTACCGAACCAGGATTGTTCAGAAGTGCCTTCAACTAGTATCCCTTTCAGAGGTTCTGGATAGGGGTTCGTCACAGTAGGTGACTGTTTACAGGGCCTTTAGGCCTGTAAACCCCATATCCTATTTTTTTCAATAATTATAACAACTGATAATAGCTGGACTACTAATGAAAAAGGTATGGATTGGATTCGGCACTTCGATTTCCACACGGCATTTCGTACGAAGGGCAAATATCGGCTGTTAATCCTTGATGGCTACGAGAGCCACTACTCCGAAGAATCCGAAACCTACTGCCAGGAGTACAATATTATTACACTATGTTTACCTCTGCACTCCTCCTATATACTTCTGCCATTAGATGTAGGCTGTTTTGCGCCATTGAAGAAGGCGTATAGCCGCCAGATTAAGCAGTTGATGCGGATGAATATCGCACACATCAGCAAATTGGAGTTTCTTTGTGCGTTCAGAGAAGCGTTTTTTGCTTTGATTACAGAAAGAAATATCCAGGGGGTTTTTACTGGAGCCGGTGTTATGCCGCACGACCCGGAGAGGGTGATATCTAAGCTAGATATGTGCATTGGGACTTCAAAACCCCCATCCTCAAGGCCGGGCACGGCATTACCTTGGCTCTCCCAAACACCACACAACCCTCGAGAAGCTACTTCACAGTCAGAGCTTATTAAAACTCGGGTATCAAACCACCAGGGTAGCTCTTCAACATCTATGTTGACTGCTGTGGATCAATTAACTAAAGATACGAAGGCTATGATGTACAAGGTGGCTCTTCTACAAACGGAGGTCTCGGCACTGCGAAAGGCCAATGAAGCACTTAAATAAGAGACGGAGAGCCAAAAAAACACGTGTGAGGCTTGGGGGGTCACTTACTGTACAAGAGGCACAGGATCTACTGGATCAGAAGGCTGTGGGCGAGCAGGTAATCCAGGAAAACCGACAGAATGGTGGTAGTGCAGGGGGATCTCGTACGAAGATTCGGTGCTGTGGTGTATGCGGCAAGCCTGGCCATAATGTACGCACCTCCAAGGAAGCTGCAGAATCATCTGATTCATCTGTTTCTGATTCAGTTATAGTTATTTCGTAGTGTTGTAGTTGTGTAATTGAGGATTGATGTTGTAGGGTGGTGGAAAAGTGCTCACTCGCTTAGAATGCTCACTCGCTTATCACGCACGTTATACTTTTTACCGCCCGTTTTATTTTCAAATTTTATTATCTGTCGGCGGTTATGCGCCTGAGGTGCATTGGAAGAAGGAGGGGAGCGAATGTATAAGATGGAAAAAGAAATAGTCCTCAACTTTTGGCAGCATATCTTCCAGAATAGGCATTAGATTTCCCTGGAAATGACAGTCTGGATGTTCGCTATGCACCGCAAATACGGCTTCGGTAACATTCGCCAGACTATCGACCTACCCGAGTCTGTTTGGATGGGTAGAACTGTTCCAGACAATGACAGCTTCTCAGCAGCAATGGCCACCCATGGGTCAGTGTTCATGCTGAGCTAGTCCCGAGCCAAGATACCCCTGGAACCTTTTGCCACGCACCGAGTCAGTACCACAACAAGCAGCCACATCCTAGCCTTCAAGCCTCCACACCCACAAATTCCCTCATAAATCCAAAAAAGGGCTCAGGAAACATCAACAAATGGGTATAGCCACGCCCGGCTAGCTCAATCGGTAGAGCGTGAGACTCTTAAGGAGTTCCTCCGTCATCTCAAGGTTGTGGGTTCGACCCCCACGTCGGGCTCAATTCCCGTTGAAACGATTCATTCCATTCGATCTTTTTTTTTGTTTTCTCAGTCTGGCCATTCTATGGGACTTCTTTGTGGAGTCAACCCTTGGTGGTGAGGCTTTCTTTTTGTTAACAGTGCACCGCGGAGACATTGAGAGATTGATAAAGTAGAGATAGAACCAGTGGGTTGCTGCTAGTGGTCTGGGAAACCTTTGCCAAAAAGGTGTTAGTGAAATGCCCGCATCATGATGTTCCACCACACCACCACACCATCCAACCACCAGCTGGACCGCAATTGTCTGCATCACACCTCTCTTATCTTCAAGTGTGGGCTGTATCATTCTGATGTTGGTTGTTCGTAATGGGATAGCCATCTTGCAGATGGTGTTAATGGTATAGTGGCAGAGGCAACTGGCTATAAGATGGCGATCTTCTCTGCAGAAGACGGTGCTTTTGGCCATCAAGCAGACATGACCACTTCTTTAACAAACTTGTCTACCTATTTGGTCAATTCCTCACAACAACGAAATTCTCAACATGGTTGCTCGCCTTGCCTCCGACCTTCCCAAGGTGAAAGAGTTCCCAGCCAGCGCCAACCCAGATGACATTGTCCAAGCGCTCATCCGCACCGGTGGTGTTGTCATCCGAAACGTCATCCCCCAAGAAACACTAGATGTCATCGAGAAAGACGTCCGCCCCTTCATCGAAGCCGACGAGCCTTGGAAAGGCGACTTCTTCCCTCCCGAAACCCGCCGGGTCTACGGCCTTGCCGGCAAATCACCCACCTTCTTCAAGAGCGTCGTCGCCAACCCGCTATACCAAGCCGTCTGCAGCAAGATGCTCACAGCAGAGTATAAATCCTGGCTGGGGCAAAAACTCGAGACATCCATTTCCCGCCCTCAGCTCAACAACACAATTGTCTTTTCTATCAACCCCGGCGCCAGAGCCCAGGAGCTGCACCGCGATGATATGATTCACCATAATGTCCTCACGGCCATCACAACTGACCAATACAAAATCGGGCGTGACACTGGCATCGGATGGTTCGTCGCCGGGAAGAAGACAACAAAGGCCAACGGCGCGACGAGGTTCATTCCGGGGAGTCATCTCTGGGATCAGATGGAGCCTCCTAGGGAAGAGCTAGCTTTTTTTGCGGAGATGAACCCCGGGGATGGGTTCGTGATGCTTAGTAGCTGCTTTCATGGAGGTAGTGCTAACACGACAAGGGATGAGGAGAGGTTGATTTACAGTTGTTTTATGACGAAGGGGTATCTACGACAGGTGAGAGCCCTCCCCACTTTTTTGGAAAGAGAGGGAAGGAAAGCTAACGCTGTAAACAGGAAGAGAACCAATACTTGGCGTCCCCACTTGAGAAGATCCGCGAGTATTACGACGCTGATTTGCAGAAGCTGATCGGGTATCAGGTTAGTAGCCCGTTTTTGGGCTGGTTGGACTTGGATGATCCGAGGAAGGCGCTATATGGAGGTGATTGGGAGGGAAAAGGGGGGGATTTGTACTAGCGAGGCTTTTGTCCACGACAGTGGTGGTGGTGGTGGTGATCGTGGGGATGATAGTGCTGTGGTGGGGTTGTTGTTGTTGATTGACAGGGGGGCGATATGCGGGAGTTGTGAGCTAGGGGCAGGCAACCATTTAAGAGTTTTAGCGGGCCAATGATGGTGGGGGGATTGAGAATTCGTCACCTTATTTTTTTTGTTCTAGAGACCTCTGTCCCCTCTGCCCCTCTTGACACGGACGTAGCCCCGGAGTTGTGGTGCCAGCCGGCTTGGAATATGGGTCAGGAAAGCGGGAGGGTGGTTGTGATTGGAGGGGTGGGCAATTGCTGGGACCGTGATGGGTGATGGGGTACCAAAGGGCTGCATTGGCTCCGGGCGGGAGAATGGGGACGCTAGACTTACTTGGAAGCTGTAGAATGCGGTCTATACCTGTCACGGCAGAGACTGGGAATTGCGACAGGTTTTGGGAGGAGTCTAAAGGGTATCGATAGTGCCGTGTGATATGGTGACACGACAGGTAGCTTTGCGGGAGAAGGGCGGGCTGGGGTGGATGTGAGTGAGATATTGTGGAACCACATGCTTCTCAGGTGGTTTTATAGCTGGATGCCAGACCCAGGTTCTCGGTACTCGCATCCTCGTTTTTTTTCGACGACTATCCTCGTCTTTTCCATTTTGGTTCTTGTTTGTTGGTCATCATGGCTGTCAGCCAGACCTTGACTCAGGTCGTTGACCTTGTGTCTGAGCACAAGGTTGAGATCACTGTGGCTTTCGTTGCGGTTTATTTCTTGAGTCAAATCAGGACGTACTTCAAGTTGGCACATGTGCCGGGCCCGTGGTTTGCGGGCTGGAGCGATATACCGCATAACTGGTCGATTTGGAATGAGAGGGCTTATCAGTATTATTATGATATTTCGGAACGATATGGTAAGTCTTTGTGAATCATGGCTTTTGTTTGAGGAGTGATTGCTGATGATGGATTGGGGATTACAGGCAAGATTGCACGCATCGGACCAAATTCTGTTCTTTCCTCGTCACCCGAGGTCTGGATCCATGTCAACACCAAACCTGGATATCGGAGGAGTGACTGGTACTTCAAGGCGGTGAGGGTCGAGTACCAGAGGGATAACATTTTCAGTCAGGCGGACACGGAGAAGCATGATGCTACCAGGAAGAAGATTGCACCTGGGGTGAGTTGGGATTCTGTGCTTTCCATCTTGGAATCAGCAAAATTAACGAGGGAAATAGTACTCCGGCCGGGAAAACCTCGAGTTGGAAGGGTCGGTCGACAGCCGTGTTGTTGCCTTCCTCGATCTCATCCGCAGAAACTACCTCTCTGTTGATGGCGGCCCCGTGAAGAAGATGGACTTGGCAAAGAAGATTCAGTTCTTCACCATGGACGTCATTTCGCTCGTGGCGTTTGGGACCACATTTGGGATGCTGGATCGGGATAGCGATATCAATAACTTTGTCAAGAGCTCAGAGGATGGGTTGCTAATCGGGAACATGTTCATGTCGCTGAATCTGGCTTGGTTGGTGCAGGCGCCGGTGATTGGAAAGTTTTTGGGACCCAGCCCGAAGGATAAGACCGGTTTTGGCGCCATGATGAGGGAGACGTTCAGATATATCGATGAGAGAGTGAAGAACGCGGCAACAGATACCAGAAGGGATATGTTGGCGAGCTTTTATCGGCATGGGGTGAGGGGGGATGAGTTGAAGAGTGAGGTTTTGGAGCAGAGTGAGTTCTCTTTTTTCCTACTTTGGGTATAAGTTCAGGTCGGGAATGCTAACGACATGATAGTGGTTGCTGGGTCTGACACCACCGCCGGTGCGTTGAGAGGCATCATGCTCCATGTTTTGGGTACGCCGAGGGTGCAAAAGAAACTGCAAGAGGAGATTGATGCCGTTCATGCCAAGAGAACTTGGGGTGATGGGATTGTTCCTCATGCTGTTGCGAAGCAGATGCCGTACATGCAGGCTGTCATCCGGGAAGGACTCAGAATCTGGCCACCTGTGTTGAACCTGCTGCCAAAGGATGTGCCTGCCGGCGGTGATACCATCGTGGTCGACGGGAAGAAGGTTTTCTTGCCCGGTGGGACTTGCATTGGTGTCTCGACACTGGCCATGCATCACGACAAGGAGCTCTACGGCGAAGATGCAGATGTTTTCCGGCCTGAAAGGTGGCTGCTGGAGACTGATCAACAGAAGCTGGCCATGATGACCAGGATCAACGACTTGACTTTCGGGCATGGAAAGTGGCAGTGCTTGGGCAAGCCCGTGGCTCAGATGGAGATCAACAAGATGTTGTTTGAGGTATGTCGGCTACACATACGATGATGAGAAGCGTCGGGTGTGCTAACCAGATGACAGTGGTTCCGCAACTTCGACTGGGCCGTCGCTAAGCCCTCAAAACCGTGGAGGTTGACGAATGCCTTTGGCCTGTTCTTGATCAATGATTTCTATGTAAGAGTTATGGAGCGGGAGACTTGAGCTGATTTTGGCGGACGGGTGCAAATACTCGGGATAATGATGTATGCGTGGTGCTTGTAAATGTCTTCATCAATTTCAGGGGCTGACTGTGTTTATCTTGATACCTTTCTTATACAATGACTTCCAGCAAAAGAATGCTTCCTATGTGCCTCCCCATTCATGAAATACAATCAAGGGCCAGGGATCCATTGCATGTTTAGAAAAAAGGGGGCCCCCTGTCCATCATGCAGGGCTAGGCCCGGGACGCAACTCCGCACACGAAATGCCTCACTCCGACCCAAACCTTCAGCAAATCCAACAGCATCAGTGGTTTAGTGGTAAAATCCATCGTTGCCATCGATGGGCCCCGTGTTCGATTCACGGCTGATGCAATCAAACTTTCTTTTGCCTTTCCTTGAAAGGCCGATTCTTTTTTCTTCAACATGACTTGTCTTTTTCAGGGGTTCACTCATCTTCGGACATCAACAGGCTGTTCTGCATGGTATGTAATGGGGAAAACGTTTCTCTTGTTGCTCCTCAAAGGTCCTCACGCGAAGGCGGCTTCGGCGCATGCGGCATCTTCGGCATATCCCAGTACCGGTTATCCCACCAGCTATTCTGAATCGAAGAATGATTCCTGCAGTTGGGCTGCTCGTACGAGTCCTTGTCACCGACAGGCCACAGCGGCGCAAAGCACACCTCGTGAAAGTCACAGGTGGTGCACTCCTTCCATCTTGTCCACTTCAGCTGGTCCATCAACTCCCTGATAGCCTTCTTTGAAGATTGAAGAAGTTCATCCATACGGCTCGCAGGTACTTTGTCGTTGTATTTGAGCTTGTCAATCCTGATCCGATTCTTGATGAAAAGGCGCACTACGAATAGTGTCTCGCAGATAGCATGCGTCACTTCCTCCATGGCGGCGAGAATAAGATGGTCTTCTGGAGTCTTGGGCGTGGCTGAGCGGATATAGTGGCGTTCGCAGCGTGAACAGGCGGCATGATATATGTCTTTCTCGCCGTAGTCGACATGGGTATTTGTCAGATGGTTGAGCTCGCCTTGGAACTCCAATATCGACTGAGCTCTTTCTGCCATGAACCAAAGCCTATCTGCATAGCGTGTGATGATCAGATCGGTAACCTCCTGCCAGTTAATGGAAGTGTGTTTGCCGTCCAGGCGCTCATGTACCACCTCCTCCACGCGGGACCTGATGCTCAGCAACTCGTCCTCTGTTGCATACCACAATCGTGGAAGATTTGGCTTTGACGATTTGTCATTGGTGAGGTTGACAGGGTAAAACATCGCCGAGACCATGGAAGAGAAATCGAGCTCTACCCTGGAGCCACCAATACCATGGTACCGCTGAGCAACAGCGCTGATCCATTCAAAAGGGTGAACTTCAGCATACCCTTCCCAGCCTAGCCCATCAGAGTTGGACGGATCGGCTGGACGCTGGATAGCGGAAACCAGCTCCATGCTGTCAGAAAAGTTGCACTTGATGATCTCAAAACCGGCTTCCATCCGAATCACACCTTGAAGACCCCAGCTCGTGACAATATCACAGAGACTTTTGGCACGACCGAACTCATCCCAAGCTTCAGCATTGCGGTCCCCTCGGATAACAAAGTCTTGCAAGTCCAGGGTGCCCATCTCCGTGTTGGCGGCACTCGTACCGTCTAGGTAGAGCAGCCGAACAGGCTGTGTCGTTTTGTAGATCTGGAGGTACCCTTTTTCATCTTCGCCATCTTCTCGAACTTCATAATCGTTTTCTCCCTGGAATAAAATCCCTCGTTGGCGCTGGAGCGGCATGGAAGAGCCCGCAGTGTTCAACTCCCGCGGCGGAAACTTCCATCGCGGGTGAGCAAATAGCTCTGCGTGCTCAATCTCGAAGGCGAGCCATTCTGGACCAGGTGGCGGAGTTGACCTCCAGGTGCCGTGGTACAAGGTCACTCCAGCAGGAACAGTGGCGACGAAAGTTGACAGGCCATTATGGTTCAAAGATGAGCCCCATTGTCGCATGGCGGAATGGATGGCGTTGAAAATTTCGTAAGCATTCATCCTGGCTGCCCCCTCGGCGGGGTCCCGATGATTGACAGCCGCCACATGGTGGGACAGGCAAGCCACCCAAACGGCTGCATGTCTCAGGCTGCCAATCCGCATCGTGACTGCTGCTGTCGATTGTTATAGCGCAAAACGATGATTCTGATTCCAAGAGAACACGCCGGGGACATTGAGGTGTTTGCGCTGCTATCGTGGTGACGCTCATGGAGTCATGGTTGCCTGGCGTGCTTACGTGGGCCTGGGGAACAGCTCGGATAAAGTCCCGACATCGCATTCTCCGCTGTTGCGGTGACACAAGTCCAGCTCGAGGAAGTACCCAGGTACAAGTAACCTTTCCCTTCACCTGAAGTGCCATCCTCGCTTCTGATAGCTCATTGCACCTGGCTCCCTTGAGGTACTTTATGGCTTCTCTTCATTGACGGTCAGTTAAGGTACACCACGCCTGCTGTGCCCCGGAGAATGCGGAGCTGTTTTGGGAATAATTTTAGTGCGAAAGAGGAAGATCTTGCCAAGACAAAATCAAGACTTCCTCCACCAACCCTCTATCACCTCCACGATATTAGGTCACTTCCCTTAACTGCTCACCCTTCGACAGCCTTAATCCCCTCCTCGTCTTTCACCAACTTCGCCTCATCAAACTCTCTATCACCCTTTGGCAGTTCCAAGCGGAAGTTCGACATGACCGCCACGCCAACCTCGATCTCCCCCTCGGTCTCAAACCCCAATATATGCCCTCCCCTCTCCCGATCCTCACTGATAAAATGCAAATGATCCCCCGCAACATTAATCCCCATGACATACCCTGGGCACCTAAACCCAATCACCGTCCCCCTCTCCCCCTCAAACGTATGTGTCGTCTGCCTCGAGCAAACATCCACCATCCCCTCTCTCGGCCTGCACCGCCCGCCCGCAGTCCTGAACTCTATCCTCTCAAACGTCCCATCCAGCCTAATCGCGAGGAAATGGTTCGTTGCCTCTGGATGGAGTTCATCTAGTAACGCCTGAAGATCTTTCTTGCCATCTTTCAACGTAGCCTTGACAGTGGTGGTGGGGTCGAATCTGGTGACCGTCGCAAAGGGTGTGATGGTTGTTTCCGGGTCGACATGTACCACCGAACCGTCGGCCTTCATCTGGTACACCTCCCCGTCGAGGACAATCATCTCGCCAACCATGTTCTTAAAGGTGCCAAGACCGTGGTCGCCATGGCGCAAAACGTCGGATATGGGGATGCCGTTGGAGGCTGCGCCGTCCATGAGGGCGGATATCAGGGAGTATTGGTAGACTTCGTTGGCTGCCATGTTTTGGTGTGACGTCGTTCAGTGACGTAAATCCCTTTCAGTGTGGTGAAAGTTGAAGGAAATGAAGTTGGCGATGGTGGTCAGGGCCAAGACTCCTGATCAAATGCCGACGATGACGGGAAGGCATGAACGGGAGGGAGCCCCACTATCGTCAGCCCCACAGATCGGATCGCCGGAATCGGTGTTGTCAGTGAGATTTCGGATGGCAGCCATGACAGGCGAATCAGTTCGAACTGTTTGGTGTTGAAACTCTGTGTCACAACATTTTCGTTAGCTATCAGCGAGATATTCCCGCCAACAGCTCTCGGCAGATGGCTGTTGTGGTCAGGGCGCAGCACAGTGCTCCGCTCATCTTTGGAGTTGAATCAAAAATGTGCCCCTCACCCAAGATCAAGGAAACCTGATATCTAAGCACCAAAAGCATATTCAACACGCCCAGGCAAAAGATGCATCAGCCGTGAATCGAACACGGGGCCCATCGATGGCAACGATGGATTTTACCACTAAACCACTGATGCTAGTGTATCGGGATGTGGTCATTTTCGCAGCCGGAAAAGTTCTTTTGTGCGTGATTTTGTCGGATGTTCGGTAGCGGGCGTCGTAGCGGGGAGCACATAACATCCGGAGCAGACGCGGCCCGAGATCTGGCAATGCACAACTTTGTCCACTCACCCAACCCAGACCCACCCCTCTTTCCACCGCCGCCACAACCAAACCCTCGAACCGGCGAATGAGTCAAAAGAAAGCCCTCAGCGAGACAGAAAATCCCATTCTCTCGTCACCAACCTCGCCAAAAAACAATGGAAACATCAAGGGCTGCTGGTCTAGTGGTATGATTCTCGCTTAGGGTACACCCTACAGCATTGCTTGCGAGAGGTCCCGGGTTCAATCCCCGGGTGGCCCCGGAGTACGGAGAGAAGAGAGCGACTTGGGAGTTCTTTTTGTTGTGTTTTGGTGGTGAGATTTTGTCTGGGTTGCCGCGAGGGAGCGTCAATATCGGTGGTTGGGTGGTTGGGTGGGTGGGATGGATGCAAGGGCTGATTGTCACAGCCATCAAGGCAGATCGGGCATAAGCAACTCCGGTTTTCTCAAAACATTGCGATCGCGATCGATTGCTATTTGTCAGCCTGCAAAAGATATCAATATCCAGGCATTGCCAACAGTCATGATCCTGTCACTCTGAGCATATGCTCCGTACCCTCTCGTTTTTGTCCCAATCAAGCCCATCTTTTCCCTATCACGCCGCCATGGCAGCCCAGGTTGCGTCGCAACCCCTACCCACAGCTGACTAACAGCGCGTCCTGCCCCGCCTGTTTCTGTCTCTGCCGATCGCAGACTTCGGCCTCCCATCGACAATCCAGTGTTTCCTCCAAGACACCATTCGCTGTCCTGCACCCAAATCGGAACCCTGGAAAATGCCGAACACCCGTTAAAGCCGATCTCCGTTCAACCACAAACCCTATTAGAAATCAACGATGCCCTCCCATCAAACCATCCGTCTCTTTCCTGCTTTTCAGCATCATAATTCAAGATTTTTTTGGATGTTTACGGAAACCTCGGGCATCGCCAACCCCACCTCGTCCGCTAGGGCCCGCATCCCCAGTCCCTGACAGCCGTCGCTCCAAGAAGACGTAAAAGAAAGCCGAAGACCGAACCGTCTTTTATACATATCTGCAGCTTGGGCACGATACTTTTAGGTATCTCGAGTAAACAATCATTATCAATTCGCCATGATGTTTGTCCTGTACTGGAAGGTGGCCAAGCCCTTGATTGATCTTGTCAAGGGCGAGGATCCCAGCCCGGAGCCTCAGCCTTGTCAACAACCAGAGCGCTACCAACAGCCATCCCCGTATCCTTCAATGGAAAGACGGGAGAAAGTAGGCAAATGGTTGGATAAGCTGCCGCAATCGGATTTGTATTTGGAAAAGACGACATCGAATAACGGCGCTTATTTTGTCTGATTGTCCAACGACCAACAAGGCTGGCCGGGCACAAGAAGCCCACCAAACAAGGGAGCCATACAATCGACGAAAACACTCCCTTCGCTGAGGCGTAAAGCCGGCCAATCACTGAAGATGCTCGATTTGTCAAAAGGAAGGACATGAAGTCGTACGTGCTACCCTTGCAGTGCTCTGCTTGCTTCATGGCTAACCGTCATCTAGCTCCACCAAATGGAAATGGAAGCGTCGTCGTATGCATATTTGCTGGCGTTTAGGAACGCTATCGTCGAATCGATCGCGTAAAGCGCGTCATTGTGCTATGGCGTTGTCGGGTCGTCGAGTCGTCGAGTCGAGAAAGGGCAGAGGATGACTGCCCACGAGAATCATGATAATGAGCAGGGTCACAGTGGATGACATATATGGCGTGGGAAGAATGCCGAGGGAAACGCCGGCCCAAGGGATCTGATGAGGTGGACATGGGGCTTGGTTAATTGATAATGTCGTGATAATAATGACTGAATGAGAGGAATAAGAGCAGTTGCACTGTGAAATGTTTCTTTATGCGATGGTGATGGTGAGAGGGGCATGGCCCATAACTGTGTTGTTTTGTGAGGAAGGAGCAGGCATCAAACCAGCACAGCTGTCTGCCTGACTTGAGTAGAGTGGTCTGTGGTTCTTGCCTATAAAGACAACCCAGATATCCTAGCCACTAAAGCCAACTTCAAATTTTCTGTTTATTCTCTCTTTTCCCGGTTTTGCCCATTGTCGCGATGATTCTGTTCCATCTTCCCCACAACGTCATCGAAGTTGGAGACAGCAGAATGCGGGGCATCGGGGCATCGTGTCTTGGCTTTCAACTGCCGACAGCAAACAAACCATCCCGGCGGGTCGGCTCGTTGCCGACGACCTTCGTTTACTTCCGTCCGGTCTTCTCTGCATGCAGACGGTTTCTTCCTAGCAACACTTGACATCACCAACACCGGTCACCAACATCACCAACATGTCGCCCCCACCGCCCCCCTCCCGCTGGCCAGCCCCCTACAAAGCAGCCATCTCCTTCACCATGGACAACCTAGGCGAAGCCCAAGACGTCCTCAATGGCAAGTGGCCTCACCCCATCGGCACCCACCCGGCAGTCACCAACCAACTCCCGCGCATGCTGTCACTTCTCGAAAAGCACAACATCAAAGCCACGTACTTTGCCGAGTCATGGAGCTTGTCTGCCTACCCTGACGCTATTAAATCACTGCAAGATGCTGGTCACGAAGTAGCTTGGCATGGGTACCAGCACGAAGTCTGGAAGAATCTTTCCCCCGAAGCAGAGCAGGAGAATTTCGATAAGAGCTGGGAGGAAGCAAGGAAAGCTGGTATCAAGTACGAGGGGTTTCGTCCACCTGGGGGGAGTATCAATGATGGGACTTGGGGGTTGCTGAAGGAGCATGGTGTGAGATATGTCTCACCACTAGGGGAGCTAGGGATTGGGAAAGAGGGGGTGGTGGTGCTGCCGTTTGAGTGGAGAGGGGTGGATGCTTTCTGGTATATGGATAAGTTCAGAGGCATAAGGGAGGATCATGGCGAGAGAGAAGAGCTGGAGAACCCCGAGGAAGATTTGAAGGGGTGGTTGACGAGTAAGATGGAGGAGATCAGACAGACGGGTGGATATCTCTCTGTTTTGTTCCATCCGTTTCTACAGACAGACGAAAAGAAGTTTGCCATGTTGGAGGAGGTGCTTGGGAGGATTGCCGCTGAGAAAGATGTTTGGGTGGCTCCTTGCAAGGAGGTTGCTGAGTGGGTCAGAGGGCATCCTGGTTCGTTCGAAGGTGGAAGGTGAAGGCTTGGTTGGCTGGGACCCCTGAAGACTGCATGTGCCCAGGCTGACGTCAAGCAAGATCATAAAGAAACCACAAACTTTCTCTTTTCCAGTTCTACACCCGTTGTCTGAGATAGGGCTAAGAGCGCCTATCTGGTTCTCGATCACGAGCACTTGCAATTGTTGGGCTTTCCCAGTGTTGTTTGTGGTGCGAGGCGGCCACTTGCAACCTCAAAAAAGCTCACTTCAGGCCGATCGTTCCTCAAACTTGCTATCTATCCTCCCTTCGCCTCTTTACCCCTCCGTTATCCCACACATCTGGACAATGGCTGAGAATACGCGGAAGTAAGATACCCTATCCAGCTTGGCCTTACCTGTGCTCTGAAGTTGCTTGATTTAGTGATGTCGGCGCGGAAGTGCCGCGAATTCTCGCAGTCAACATCAACTGCGCCGTCGGCCAGCTAGCTGACTACGGCAAAGACCTCTGGTACGCCATCGAGATTGACTCGGACCATGATGTCTTTACGAAGGACGTCGCACCTTCGCCCAGCCTTCTCGAAATTCCTGTTGTGGTACACCGGGTTGGAACATTTCTCGTTTGAACAGTGTCATCTTGACAATCAGCCTGTCACATGGATGATATTGATCCCGAGTTCGGGTTTGCGCCATTGGGGTGGTAACTGAACGTCGGGACTGTGGTTGCTGCACGCAAGGACAAAAAGCCCTTCCTCGTTCAGCATTTGGAGGGCCTGCATCAGTACAACAGCGCAATCCTGGATCGCTTTGGCGACGGAGAGGGTCCCCCGAAAGACATGTACAGTCGGCAGGCATTTGAGTGATTCTGGAACGAGTACAAGGCCGAAAGAGCGGATGATTCGACTTGGAGGGATGTCAAGTCACCTTATGAGGTTTGAGGTTCATAGTTGACCCCGTGGTTCTTGCTGGGAGAATCTCAAGGGAAGCAAGGCAACAACCGTAGGTATGTATCTATCAATCAATCTACAGAACAACACCCGTCGCTTCAAAAGTCTGGACCATCTTCTTTTCAAATCTTGACCAGAACTTCTTCCCACTAAGCTGAGTATCACTGTACTCAACATAACGACTGCCACTCCCAATCTGTGTCGCCCACCTCTTGACCACCGATCCATTCGACCCAACGGCTCCAAACCTCCCCAGATCAAAATTGATATACTGGGCCTCCCCCCAGTTAACAGCCACAATCACCAGCTTCCTCGCCTTCTCATCATAAGCCGCAACAGCGTAATCACTCCCCCCATCCAAAATCCTCATCCCCGGCCTGATATGCCTCGCAAACTGCGCGAGAACAAAATACTTCTGGTTCACCTGCCCGATCGTCTTCCTGTCATTATCCGCGTCAATCAAACCCCACCCACCCCCATCCAAAACCTGCCAGTACACCCACGCCATCGGCCTCAACCACCGCATATCCAGCAGCAAATTACTCACCAACCTCTCCCCGGTAGCATCCGCCTCCCCATATTCACTCTGCCAAAGCTTCTTCCCCGCCTTGTTCACCATATCAAACAGCACATCCCTCCTTCCCTTTTCATACTGATACCCATGCACATTCACCCTCCCCACTGCCTCCATCACAGTCCTGTTGCCCTCGAATTTCCTGAGCGTCTCAACCGCCTCGTCGTAATGGCTCTCGTCCGAGGCGGAAATAACCACCCCTTTCAACCCCCGATTGTCCAGTTCCTGCCTTAGATACCCCACCACGGCGATCTGGGTGGAGGCGTCGAAGTGGCAGCCTTCTTGCGTGCCGGTCTTGCCGTTCCACCAGTTTGCTGACGGCTCGTTGAATGGGTCTATTGATGTGAAGCTCACCCCCCAGTTTTCTGCTGCGTATTTCGCCACTGTGGCCAGGTAGACAGCATGGTTTTGATAGTTCCATGATTGGAGGTTGTCGGATCTGCCGTCGTCGGAACCGGAGGGGTTGTGGTTTTTGCACATCCACCAGATTGGGGAGTTGGAGAAGAGCTCGAGGGTGGTGGCGCCGCGGGAGGAGGCTTTGAGGAGCATGGAGCGTTGGTTTGGGTCGGCGGACCAGTTCCATGATGGGGAGGTTGGAAGGGAGGAGGTCCAGTCGAGCCAGAAGCCTTGGATGAGGCGGGAGGGGATGATGGAGGGGGAGGTTTTCATGGAGGTGGAAGGGGGGATGGTGGTTTTGGTGGTTGTGGCACCGAGGTTGTAGCGGGCGATTGTGAAGCCTAGGCCGGGGAGGGGGACGGATTGGTGGGGGGTTGTGCGGAGGGTGAAGAAGATGTCTGCTAGGTCGTCGCGGTGACCGAAGGTGGCTGCCCACCAGGCTAGGGAGGTGCCCCAGCCTTCCCAGGTGCCGCGGTTGGAGGTTGCATCGATGGTGGTGGTGAGGTCGGCGTGGGCGGTGGTTGTAAGGAGGGCTATGCCTGTGGCGAAGTGGAGGAAGGAGGGTGCCATGGTGCTGGAGGGGTGAGGGAGGCACTTGAGCCTCAAGTGTCGAACATCATGGTTAAGGCCTGGATGGTGAGGATGATTTGATTTTATAGTGATCTATATGAGTATGGTTGGTATGTTTCACTAACGCTAAGATATCCACGAGGGTAGTATTGTTCTCCAACACCACAACCCAACCCGACTTTCCCCTTTACCGGGTTTATTTGTTTCCAAACTTTTCCACCAACCAAGTAACACAACTGTGGATTGCCTAGCCATAATTACGGAACGTCCTCGACCGCACTGATGGAAGCTTCCATCGTGCAATTGAAGTTCTAACTGTATTCGGGGAACTCGGAGCCGAGCGAAAGAGGACGTCCACGTTGAAACATCAAGCGCATAAGACATACCTAGCCGGAGACTCTTACCGTGACAGGACTGAAGTAATAATTCAAGCTGCCATTTTGCTGACATACTTCCGCGCTACATATCGATCAATTGAAGACTTATGACATTATCCCAATCGTTACCAGGTCCTCGGGAATCCCTAAAGCCAGAGCCTCTTATTCCGGTCTAGTCGACTCCAGCCCCATTGTAAACGCAGGCTGCAGTTCATTCACAACATGAAAGAGTCCTTTTCCTTTGTTATGTTCCTCGAAACTTTGCATGGGTTTTGAAGCCTTTTGCGGATATTTAAGACAATGCGTCCCGAGACTCGAACAAAGACAGATCTCAAAGACAAATGTCAAGGAGAAACACAAGCCTCTTCAGAATTTCTCTTCACCGGAGCATGCCGTTGATCTCCATGTTGATTTTCTTCAGGCGCCAATGTTGTAAACAGCCGGTCGGTATTGCAGTGGGGGAATGCCACTCGCCCCCCCAAAAAAGGGGTAATTTATCCTGCTGCATATACACCCCATGACCTGTCTCCTGTCAAAACACGCGTTTAAACCTCGGCCCTGCAGCAACGCCCCTTCGGGTCGGTTCGGTTGGGCACCTGTACTTCTTTGCCCAGCCTGAGGGGTTGGGATGTGGTGTGTTCTGATCATGCCTCGGATCGGACTCCCTCACGAGGGCGGAGATTTCCATCTTTGAGAAATTTCCCGCGCGCTTGGATGTTTGGTGATCAGATCATCTTCAACCTTTTCTTTTTCCAACCGTACCATGTGAACATTCTCCCATGCCATCCGAAAAAATTCCATCTCCAAGTCCAACAATGGCCTCCTCCTATGCAGAAAACAACGACCTGGCATCTCCACCAAGCCTGATGTCGCTCATGATGGGATATACCCCTCGCCCTCGGGCTGCTGTTTTACCACCTCCTCCACCAGTCACAGAAAACAGAACCGCCTCGTCGTCCATCACGCTCGAACCACCGCCACCACCGACTGTCACGTCTGAGTCAAGAAACAGTACTAGCAGCACGGAAATTTCAACGGCAAGGCAGGAGGAGGCAACACAGGTCAGGATTCTAAAGAGGGAGAGCATACAGATTGAGATTCAGCAACCTCCTACGGCACATTTTGACAAGCATACTTCTGATGAGCCTCGTTTGAGAGGGAAGAAGGCTGTTACGATTTTCAGCCCTGCTCGTTCACATCAAGATGTGGGGGGTGAGAAGGAGAGTTTGGCGTTGGAGGAGGAATTAGGGGCCGTCAATAAGGGGAGAGGGAGGAAAAGGGGTTGTGGAGGGTGCTGGAGCTTTTGGTAGGGTTTGATTGGGAGAGGACAGAGGAGAAAGGTGTGAGTACTTGTACGAGGAGAGAAAAGATTGTACTACTTTTCCAAGACCTGCGAGTTAAGGATATCATGGGGGTACTAGCGCAGAGTGTTCCCAGATATAGATACGTACCTATGTACGTAGTCGATAAGTCAGGGGATGTTCAGGGGTGATCTCACGGTAACTCAGCAGTGGTGAAATGCCGAATACCAATTGCTTGACTCGACTGCGTGCTCAATGTACCTTACACCTACAGAGCAGAGTAGAAACAGAACTCCGCTAAACGTATTTGAAGACTTCATGGTCCTATGAACCAGACCAAAAGTGGAAGCCTTTGTCTCTAGATGTATCTCGGTTCTCTTTATCCATGTGCATCCCGCGGGAACCCCTTTATGTTTTCCTGTAGAAATGAATGCATTGTGAACTCGATGCAGACCTCAAACAAAGAGATAGAGACGGCTACATAACCCTTCCGTTTCCGTCGGTCATTCAAGATGAAGACTCCATGTCTATGACCCAGCAGTTTCGCCTTCAATATCAGCATAGTCAAACCAGGTTCCATCTGGGAATTCCTGGAGAATTTCAGTCCTGTCCATTGAACCTTTCGAAATCGGACATATAGCAGCTTCAGACTTGTACAAGATCAGGTATCTGTACAATTATTAGTATCGACACACTATAGATCCCTAATCATTCACGATGCCTCGCAACAACAACAGCGACGACGATGAAGTGTATCAGCCGCCTACAAACACGTCAGGGCCGGCAGACACGTCTCCGCGGCAAACGCGCGCTATACGAGAGGCGGCTATGTTGCGTGCTGGTTTCGTCAATAACAATATGTCAGAGGAGGATTATCAATTCATGCTCAGCCTTATGCCCCTTGGTTTCCACTCAGATCCCACCAAGTTTCCCAAGCTCTTCCAAATCACTAGTCAAGATTATCAATCCACAAGCCCCCTCGAAGATCGCGAGGTGTACGAGATTAGAGATTACCTCGTCAAGTACACCGACTTTGATTTGCGCGTGCCCACCCTCGCCACTCGGATTCGCAGAGCCAACGCCGACTATCTGTCCGATGGTATCAGTCGTTTGATGTCGCCCTTTGGGGAACACTATTATGCGTTTACGTGTTTGGTGTGCCACAGCTGGTACAGACCAGATAGCGAAGAGTGCAACCAATACACTTGTTACGCCCCCTTCCGAGACCAGTTGGCCGAGTGGGCTAAAGATCATATCGCCATCCGCATGACGCCGGACCGGGGCTATGGCGCCTTCATGAAGCCCGGTCGTGATGTGGAGCAAGATGAAATCATTGGCATCTATTACGGTATGATATGTAAACACGACAGCGAACACGTGCCCAACAGCGCCTACGTTTACGAAATGGACGACCATATCGGCGAGTACCCATACAACATTGATGCGGGAATGTACGGCAACTGGACCCGGTTTATCAACCACCACTGCCGCCCCAACGTCGCGTGCAGCCCTGAGACCATCGGCGGCATCAGAGTCTTGGCTTTCAAAGCCCTCAGGCCAATCGAGGAGGGGCATGAGATATACGTCAACTACGGACGAAGCTATTTCGACAAATTCAAAATGCAGTGTCGTTGCAACCTCTATCCCATTGCGCACAAAGCCGAGGGCCATGCGGATACGGCGACCAACAAGCCACGTACACGTGCTCTCCCCGTCCTTCCGCTGGACCAGAAACGCGAGCTTCCACTGGACAGTGACTCAGATTCGCCCCTCTCCTCTCCTCCTTCGACACCAGAGAGACCCGTAACGCCAGATCCCGGGAGGCCAGATCCCGGGAGGCCAGATCCCTTTAGGCCGTCACCTTTGAGGCCAGGGGCCACCTCGAGGTCAGGTCCAAGACACAGACGGACTAGAGGCAAACTTGCCACATATTCACCGGCCAGCTTATCAAAGGTGTCCTCTGGTATCAGGAAACGCCAGCGGATCGACAGACAGGCTTCAAGGAGCTATGTTTCTGGTGTTCAAGAGGCGCTTGAACAGCAGGAGCTTATTGAAATAGTTGGCGATGCTGGCTACTCCTCTGACTCAACTCTTAGCTCGCCAACTGACACCGACGAGGAGATGGAGGATATCCTCGGATACTCACTTGGCAATTTGGGGAACAAGCCGAAAGTGCACGCCGAGCCCTATCGCGCTGGCGGTCAGGCACTGCCTGATGTAGACCAGGTCCTGCGAGAAGCGGCGCCAGTCGAGGCAGAAGACTATCAAGTGGAAAAGGTGATGGACTCGACCTTGATGGGTGATGAAGTCAAGTATCTGGTCAAGTGGGAAGGATGGCCTCAGAGGAGACATTGGACCTGGGAACCCTTTGAGCACTTCTACAGCGACGGAGCCAAGGCAGCTGTCCGCACCTTTCACGCACAGCAACCCCGCAAACCCAAGGACTCCCGAGTGGAGGCTTGAAGGCATTCAGAGCTCGTGGGCGAGCATGAGAAGGAGGGAGATAATGTCACACGGCCAACAACCAACCGGCCACATCACGGCCCAGTCGCCGGCAACCTGCACGTTGTGAGCCATTTGTTGAAAGTGAAGCAGTCAATGAAAGGCATGGCGGGAATGCTGCTGGCCCAGTGATATATTGAAGGACTTGGCAGCGGCCTAAGGCTAAGGAGGCACGGACCGCTTGATGGGAGATAAATACGCGTTCAGGATCACTGTACTACTCCAAGTTTCTTCTTCTCTTCTTCATCATGGACTTCGAGGCCATTGAAGATTATTACTGCAATTGAACTACTGTTCCAAGCCCTGTAATACAGCCCTTGTCACATCTCCCGACGTGGTAAGAGTATAGGTTAGGTAGGTAAAATGGCGGGAGAATGGCGTTTGGGCGTACTACTGTAATACCATGATTTGGCCATTTTGTTTTTCACATATTTGATGGAGAAGTTGTTGTTCTGTGATTGATGATTGATGATTGATGGAGGCCGCTGCCAAGAGCCAGGGCACCTAAGCTGCCCTGCTCTTCAGCCACAGACCCCACCAATCAAGCTAGACAGCCCCGCCTGACAGGGCCCCGAGACCATTGGCTCTGGCACCTCAGCTCAAGCGTCGTGACATGACATCAGGGTCTCTCCCCGCCCAACTTGCTTGGTTGAAGAGCCCTGGAAACTGATCAAAAATCCCACCTGGAATTGCGTGGCATCTCTGTTAACCATTCGTGCCGTTGAACCCATAAGCAGTACGCGTCAAGTGGCGTCTCAAGTGCGTAGCTTTCCTTGTAACCCCCGTGCCGCCGCCGCTGTAATAAAAGAACACAGCCGGGCCCCTCTCCTTGGGTTGGTTGCCAAGTTGGTCTCCGCCATCAGCTCCCTCTCGGCCCCGGCATTCCTATCCGTTCCGCAGCAGAGACAAACAAACCGCCGACCCCCCAAAGCGGCTTACTGTTATATAACCTCCCCCATATGCCGTCTTCTGGAACACCTCACACCTCCCGTTCCCGCCGGTCCCCCATCTTGATAGCCACCTCCTTAACTGTCCTCCTCCTGAGCGCCGCCGTTCTCCTCTCCAAGACCATCTTCACCAACCCAACAACGTCCCCCATCCAACAAGACTCTCCCAAGATGGGCGGCGGACCAGTCACCCCCGGCTACCGCAGCGTAGCCTACTTCGTCAACTGGGCCATCTACGGCCGCAAGCACCGCCCGCAAGACCTCCCCGTCCAGAACCTCACCCACATCCTCTACGCCTTCGCCAACGTCCGCCCCGAGTCGGGAGAGGTCTACCTCACCGACACCTGGGCCGACACCGACATCCACTGGGAAGGCGACTCCTGGAACGACTCGGGCACCAACCTCTACGGCTGCCTCAAGCAGCTCAACATCCTCAAGTCCCGGAACCGCAATCTCAAAGTCCTCTTGTCAATCGGAGGATGGACCTACTCCTCCAATTTTAAACAGCCCGCCTCCACCCCGGAGGGCCGTGAGAATTTCGCGCGCACCGCCGTTGACCTTGTAAGCCCCCCTTAATCACTCCACGCCCTTTACCCAAACCCCCTCTAACACCCTCCCCCAGCTCAAAAACATGGGCTTCGACGGCCTAGACATAGACTGGGAATACCCCTCCTCCCAAACCGAAGCCTCCCACCTCGTCTCCCTCCTCTCCACCCTCCGCTCCCACCTCGACGCCTACTCCTCCACCCTCCCCTCCCGACCCCACTTCGAACTCACCGTCGCTTCTCCCGCCGGCTTCCAAAACCTCCAGAATATGGACCTCCCCGGAATGGACAGGTACCTCGACTTTTGGAACCTGATGGCCTACGACTACGCCGGATCGTGGGACTCCACCGCCGGCCACCAGGCCAACCTCTTCCCCTCCCCTCACAACCCGCAGTCTACCCCTTTTAGCACCGACGCCGCGGTGAGCCATTATGTCAGTCAGGGTGTCCATCCGGGCAAGATCGTGCTGGGGATGCCACTGTACGGGAGGGCCTTTCAGCAGACTGACGGCCCCGGCGGTCCCTACAGTGGTGTGGGCGAGGGGACGTGGGAGAATGGTGTGCATGATTACAAGAAGTTGCCATTGGAGGGGTCGGAGGAGAGGTATGATCATGAGGCGGGCGCGAGCTACTGCTACCACCCCGGGACGAGGACCATGGTGAGCTATGATACTGTTCCCTTGGCTAGAAGAAAGGCGCAGTATGTCGTAGACAGGGGCTTGGGTGGTGGCATGTGGTGGGAGAGTTCAGCTGATAAGGAAGGGCCCGAAAGTCTGATCGCCAACGTGGTTGACACCTTTGGTGGGCCAGGAGCGTTGCAGTACAAGGAGAACTGCGTCACCTATCCGGATACCAAGTACGATAACTTGAGGAATGGGCTGTAAGGTAACACAGGACAAGACAAATAAAACAGACAAGCACAGAGACACCCAAATATAATGAACGAAAAGAATCATGGGGATGGGGTTAGGATTTGCTACCTTGCGACCCTTTCCAGAACCACAACGCAGACGATGACGGGGAACTCTCTATCAAAGAGCCGAGATATCGTGATCATGTCGCATCCCAAATCGCATTTCCTCGCCATGTCAGAGCCAGAATATGCCCCCCTATCTAAAGGTACATAAACGCCGATGAAGAAAATCAGTCACAGCCCCGTTCCTAGCTCAATGCTTTTCCGTCCCAGTCCCATGTTTCGCCTTCTTTTTGTTGATGTTGGGCAATTAAGCCTTCTCGAAGACGTAGGTGAGGTGGCAGCGACCGCAGTACTGGCGATCCTGCATGGCGGCCATGAAGACACCGGCACCGCACTGGAGAGAGAAAAGTTAGACTGTGTTGAGAGGGACAGAAACAAAAGGGAGGGGAAGGCATACGCTCTCGTTGGGGCACTCGCGGCGGAGGCGCTCAATCTTGCCGTCAGAGTCGACCTTGTAGTACTTGAGGACGGCGAGTTTGGTCTTTTTCCGCTTGTGCTTGATCTTCTTGGGGGTGGTGTAGACCTTCTTTTTTCTCTTCTTGCCACCACCACGGAGGCGGAGGACCAAGTGAAGGGTGCTCTCCTTCTGGATGTTGTAGTCGGAGAGGGTGCGGCCATCCTCGAGCTGCTTGCCGGCGAAGATCAGGCGCTGCTGGTCAGGGGGAATGCCCTCCTTGTCCTGGATCTTGGCCTTGACATTGTCGATGGTGTCGCTCGACTCCACCTCAAGGGTGATAGTCTTGCCCGTGAGGGTCTTCACGAAGATCTGCATGATTGCCTACTGAGAAGTGGTAAGGATATGTTAGACGCAGACGAGAGAATGAGAGAGACTTCTGCGCCCCGGCGGGTATCGAGAGAAACGAAGTGAAGAGGGAAAAAAAGAGGCTATCTTGAGGATTGCGCGCGACCAGCATGCAGACAACCGCTCAAGGGTCGCCTCCCACAGCGACTGCCGCGATGACAAGATTGGGTATCATGGTGAAGATGATGATGAAAAAAAGGGTGCCGGGGCGCGAGAAGCTCAGCAACATCAACCAGACGTACCTAGACACAGTGTCTTCCTCAGCAATCTGGAGATGTTGTGAAGTGCGCGCTGATGGAGGAGTTGAGAATTTGAGGTGCCGCTGCTCTCAGACTTGAACTTTTGGACAGGTGGGCCCCACACTTTACGCGGTGCGGGTCAGCTGACTATGGCCGGCGAATTTAGGGCTTTGCAACCCACTTGCCCTGTGCAAAAAGCCCGTTGGGGAGCTCGGTCCACCACAAGCGGAAAGTGGGGCACCACCTGCGCAGCATTTGGAGGGCAAGTTGAAATTCCCAATTCCTGCCCTCTTCCTCCACACAATCAGTCTTCTTGAGAACCAGTGCATCAAGAATACCGTCAAGATGGTCAAGAAGAGAAAGAACAACGGCCGCAACAAGAAGGGTATGTGACTTTTCATTCATCGCCTTCGTCGACATCGACCTCGACCTCGACCTCGACCTGGACATCATCGCTAACTCTATTCCTCACAGGCCGCGGCCACGTCAAGCCCATCCGGTGCTCCAACTGCTCGAGATGCACTCCCAAGGACAAGGCCATCAAGCGGTTCACCATCCGCAACATGGTTGAGTCTGCGGCTATCCGTACGTATACACGCGCTGGGGACACCACACCATGACAACAACAACCCGATCGAGAACAAACCCAGACTGACTTTGCGACTTCACAGGTGATATCTCCGACGCCTCGGTGTTCGCCGAGTACACGGTTCCCAAGATGTACCTCAAGCTGCAGTACTGCGTCTCTTGCGCCATTCACGGCAAGATTGTCCGGTACGTTTGTCCAACTGGCGGGGACAACCACGTCTGTCTTCACGACGACGAGGGCGGCTGAGAAGATTCCTTGGTCGAACGCGTTTCCCGCGCAGAAGAGTATACCCCCCGACTTTAGAACAGTCTCCCGCTGACACTTGTGCTTCTAGTGTCCGCTCCCGCGAGGGCCGCCGCAACCGTGCTCCTCCCCCGCGTGTCCGCTACAACAAGGACGGCAAGAAGGTCACCCCTACCCAGGGTGCTAAGACTGCCTAAATGGCCAGTGTCTTCTAGGTCGGCGTTTTGGGCTGGTGGCATACGGTCTCTGGGTTTTGATGTTCCGGGAGCAATGATATCATGATTTCACTTTTGCACAGCAAACTGGCGATCACGGAAAAGGAATGAGGGCTTTTAGGGATTTCCTTTCAGCTCATCAATGGGAACACATTTAGAGCCATAGTCACCAATTCAGAGCACTTGTTGAGTGTGAACCAACCATTTGTTGCCTTGCCGCCCCTGGAAGAGACTTGGTCGCCACTTGATCATTTGGATACGGTCTGCCTGCTGCGATGCGGCTTCTTCCGGATATTATTAGACATCCACCTTGTTGGATTTCGCCTAGGGTTTGTGGCCTCGGGGTCCAGCTTAGCCATTTTCAGAGAGGTCGCTCGCTGGCGAGCACCGCTACTGCGCGACGCTTCAAGTTGAGTTGGTCGGAGTGGTCGGGCAGGTTGTCTCAACTCAGCAGCGGTCCATTGCCTGTCACATCCTCAGCTCTTTCTGGTCAAATGATTTTGAACATCTGCAGCCTCAAGATCTCTTTGCCATGGGCCAAAGAATTCATCAAGCAGGCATCTTCTAGTTGTCGTCGCCAGTGGCAATCTGCATCCAGACTCATCCATTAAGTAAATCTTCGAGAGGAACGTCTGTGTTGATACTCAACTCGCGTCATACGTTTCCCATCGTAATAATCAGCCCACCATGAGCCAAGCATCGTGTCCGCGAAATCCTCACAACCCAAGGCTGAGGAGGTGGCTTGCTCTTTGGTTCTTCCCCGACTTACAGACCCTCCTCTCTCTCTCTAAAATTCCCAGAAAATCCCTTAGCGAACCAACAAGCCCGTTTGGCTTGCTCGCTTGGTGGATCCAATCCGGGGGTAGGTGATCCTACCGGGTCCGGACCGGGGGTGCCGGAGAAGGAAGCTATCCCCTGCCGGGGGTTAGTGCCGATGGTGCTGCGCATTAATTGCAAATTGTTTGGTTGTGAAGGAATTGGGGTTGTTTTCTGCGGCAGGCAAAGAAGGGGATGAATGGAATGAGATGGCGTTATGTTACGTCAAGAGATCGAGAGGGAGGGACCGGTCTGGAGATCTTGGGGATGATGGACATGGGTAGGGGGGTGCGGCTGGGGGATTTGGACGGATGGGCTTGTTTAGTGTAGTACTTAGGGTGGGTGGTTCCCGCTGAGATGGGACATGAGGAGAGTTCAGGTTCTTCTCACTTTGTAACTTCTTGTCAATCTTTTGGGGATTTTATTGAGGATATATTGTGTTTGGATTTGAGTGACGACTTGCAGGTTTGCTTGAGGTAGGAGAGGAGATCTGACACTCGTTTATTATCGACTATACGAACACGGACAACCCAGACTGTTGCTGAAGACTTGGGTGCCGACATTACCAACGAGAAGACGCGTATGGTGAAGCTAGGTCAGGATAGTAAGGATGGATCCCGCAGCTCCAATACCGAACTACGACAACCCCGAGTCGATCGGCTACAGACTCGTTATTGTTGCTGTGGTGTTTCCAGTTCTTGCGCTGTGCTTTTTGGTCCCGAGGTTGTACACAGCCAGCCATATCATTCGAAAATGGCATCCAGATGATTGTGAGATCTCCCTTCACACAAACCACACACCTACCTAGTTTGCTGACCTTGGTGATGGATAGACTTGGTAATCGTCGCCTTTGTACGGACACCCCTTGTTTTTGATCATGACAGACATGGCAACTGACCACTCCTGATAGCTCTTCACCATTGCTAACTCGACCGTCTGCATCATCCGTACGTCTTTTGTCTCTAAAGACAACCACCATCATCCTGATCAAACAAAGCTGACCCCCCAAAAACAGAAACCACGCTCGGCATGGGAAACCACATCTGGGACCTCCCCTTCCCCAAGTTCCAATCCATGATGAAGCTCGGCATGATCGGCGGCGCCATGACCTACAACCTCACCACCCTCTTCGTCAAGATGTCCATTCTGTCCTTCTACCTCCGCTTCGCCACCGCCAACCACAAGTTCCGGATAGCGGTTTACGTGGTCATGTTTTTTGTGGTTGGGTACACCATCCCCAACGCGTTTCTGTTTCTGTACATCTGCAAACCGATGCAGTATTACTGGGACTGGACGATTGAAGGGGGCACGTGCATCAACCAGCAGGCGGTGTTTGATTCGGCTAATATACTGAACATGGCGACGGATTTCATAATTTTGGTGATGCCGATTTGGATGCTGTGGGATTTGAGGGTGGGGATTAGGAGGAAGGTGGGTGTGGTGGGCATTTTGATGGCGGGTGGTTTGTAAGGTCTCTTCCAGTCATTGCTTGTTGTTTGTGGGGAGGGTTGTGTTGGGAAAACTCAGGGGGCTAACAGTTTACAGTGTCTGCGGTGTGAGCACCATGCGCATGGTGACTGCGATGACGGGAGCCAACGAAACGGATATTTCATGGCATTATGTCAAAAACTTGATTTGGTGGTGAGTACTGACAAGAAGTGGAATCTGTGGATGGGTTGGGCTGACAACATCTAGCATCGTCGAAATGGACATTGGAATCGTCTGCGCCTGTCTCCCATCACTCCGAGCCTTCTTCCGGCGCTTCTTTCCAAACATGTTCGTCTTCAGCTCAGCTTTCGAGGAAAGACTGACTGCTACGTTGACATTCCGACGAGGCAGGGAGCTAAGCTCGCAGCCGAACGCTCTCCAATTCCGCTCTACCGATCCGGATAATCAGAGTAATTCCAGCCAAGACATCACTGACCAGAGGGCTTGGTGGAGGAGGAAGGCCACAGGCCCAGATGTTGAGAAGGCGGATCAAAAGCAAGTGACGGATGAGTCGTCGGTTCAGGTTGTTGAGAAGAGTGCCCTGGGCTCCGATTCAGGGAAGACATAATGATGGGATTGGGAAAATTAGATTGGGTATCTTGGGTAATGGGTTTTGGTTGGATAATGATGGGAAATGTTGGTTACTCTTACAATGACATGGCTTGTCTCTTTTGTGTTGATTGCGTGATCCTGCTTGCGTAGAGAGTCACCCTGCCCACAGAATAATTGAGACTCTAAAGTAAGTTAACCCATATTATACTATAAACTATATATCAAAAGTAGGTTGATAGGCCTATAGACTATCCTTCAACGTATATTAACCTACTTTAGTATCTCAATTATTCTGTGGTGAGGGAGAGAGTGTACAGTGACTGGCACGTAACGTCAGTAGTCAAAGTCAGGTTGGCCCTGCAAGTGTCTCATCCTAAACTCTGGGGGAAGTGGAGCAGAGAAATCAGCTTCTGGGGAGTGGGGTTCTCTTGGAGGAGCTCACATGACAAAACATGTGACCTTCAGGAGGTCAAACAACTCAGGAGGTGGCCCGTGCACAGGCTACAGCGTCCAAGCGTCTCTGGCTACAGCGTCCAAGCGTCTCTGGCAGTCGCTGGCAGGCGGAGTGCAGCAAGGCTTCGATATTTTTTTGGGAGCTCTGGGACCCAAAGGCCGGGAAGCTCCACGAAATAATCAAATTACCCCCCCAACGGCGCGCGTTCCACCCACCACCACACCCCCTTTGCAACGACTCTTGTAGTTCCGTCACGACCAGACCAAAGAGACCCAACCTTCACACACCGGCCACAAGATGTCTTTCGGAGGCCAAACACCCACCATCATTGTCCTGAAAGAGGGTTAGAAAACAACCCCTCCTTCCCGATCCGCTCACCGTTGTCCCCTCCCCCACTGACTCGATGCTTGTGTTGTTGCGCAGGGACCGACACCTCTCAGGGCAAGGGCCAGATCATCTCCAATATCAACGCCTGTCTCGCCGTTCAGGCCACGATAAAGTCTACTCTCGGCCCCTATGGCGGTGATCTCCTCATGGTCGATGCCAACGGCAAGCAGACCATCACCAATGATGGTGCCACCGTCATGAAGCTCCTGGACATTGTCCACCCCGCCGCCCGCATCCTCGTCGATATTGCCCGGTCACAAGACGCCGAAGTCGGTGACGGTACTACCTCCGTCGTTGTTCTCGCCGGCGAGATCCTCAAGGAGGTCAAGGAGCATGTTGAGAATGGGGTCAGCTCACAGATCATCATCAAGGGCCTCAGGAGAGCGTCGACCATGGCGGTGAACAAGATCAAGGAGATTGCGGTCAACACATCCGAGGGCAACAGGAGAGACACACTCGAGAAGCTCGCTGCCACCGCCATGACCAGCAAGCTTATCAAGCGTAACACCGAGTTCTTCACAAAGAGTGAGGCCCCCTTTTCTGGGTACACAATAGGCAGCAGCAGGGCAGGGGTACTAATATTTTGTTTCTCTCATTAGTGGTCGTCGACGCCGTCCTCTCCCTCGATCAAGAAGACCTCAACGAAAAGTTAATAGGCATCAAGAAGATCCCCGGCGGTTCCCTTACCGACTCCCTCTTCGTAAACGGTGTCGCCTTCAAGAAGACCTTCTCCTACGCCGGTTTCGAGCAGCAGCCCAAGTCCTTCAAGAAGCCCAAGATTGTCTGCCTGAACGTCGAGCTCGAGCTCAAGGCCGAAAAGGACAACGCCGAGGTCCGCGTCGAGCACGTATCCGAGTACCAAGCCATCGTCGACGCCGAATGGCAAATTATCTTCAAGAAGCTCGAAGCCCTCCATGAGACCGGTGCCAAGGTTGTCCTCTCCAAGCTCCCCATCGGTGACTTGGCTACCCAATACTTCGCTGATCGCGACATCTTCTGCGCTGGTCGTGTGTCCGCCGATGATATGGAGCGTGTTGTTCAAGCCACCGGCGCCACTATCCAGAGCACCTGCTCCGACATCCACGCCGAGCATCTCGGCACATGCGAGTCCTTCGACGAGAGACAAATCGGTGGCGAGCGCTTCAACTTCTTTGAGGGCTGCCCCTCCGCCAAGACCTGCACTCTTGTCCTCCGAGGTGGTGCTGAGCAGTTCATCGCCGAGGTTGAGCGCTCTCTCCACGACGCCCTCATGATTGTCAAGCGCGCCATCCGCAACAAGACTATTGTTGGCGGTGGTGGTGCCACAGAAATGGAGATATCCGCCTACCTCCACCGGTTCGCCGATCGCGACGTAGCCCACAAGCAGCAAGCCATCATCAAGAGCTTCGCCAAGGCCATGGAGGTCATCCCCCGCCAGCTCTGCGACAACGCCGGGTTCGACGCGACCGATATCCTCAACAGACTCAGAGTCGAGCACAGAAGGGGCAACACCTGGGCGGGTGTTGACTTTGTCAACGAGGGCACAACAGACATGATGGAGAGATTTGTTTGGGAGCCTGCGCTGGTCAAGATCAATGCTATTCAGGCTGCCACGGAGGCTGCGTGCTTGATTTTGGGCGTGGATGAGACGATTAGAAACGAGGAGAGCGCGGCTCCTCAGGCCCCAGGTGCTGCTCTGCGTCCTGGTGATGCGCAGAGGGCACTTGGTGGGAGGGGGCGTGGAAGGGGTATGCCCAGGCGGTAAAGGGGGCTGGAAAAGCGGGCTGTAGATAAAAGTGATGGAACACAGGGGGTTGTTGCATGAGCATGGGGTGTTGATACCTAGATTCTTTGCGTGTTATATACATGGCAAATGTGGTAATAAAAGATGTTAAAGTAATGGCAGTCTCTCCTGTGGTATTATGCAGCGGTCAATGTGTGTTGTGCATGATGTCTACTCAGGAGTGGAATACGATAAAGATGTATAAAGCTGGGTTGCATGACGAGATAGGTATTCGTTTCAAGCAGCATCAATACCATGTGCAATATCAAAGCTAAGTTCAACCAGTCCTCAGTACATGGGCCAACCAACCGATTCAACGGTTCTAATTTACATCATATATTACTAGTTAATGAAGGTGCTTTCATACGGGTATGCGGATTCCTAGAGCAGAAAATATTGATAAGGTCTTGTGCCTGGAGTGTTACTATGTCCATCTTGCATAATGTTGCCTACAAACCAGAGGTATTTATGAGAGAAGATCGCTTGCGATGGGCAAGATAGTGTTTATATCACCTTTGTCGACATCGTTGATTGATATCATCATTGAAAAACAGACGCCCAACCTTCCTGGCATCTAGAACTCTGAGGCGTGTGTAACATCTCATATGCATGTAACGACGGTTTGATATTACCGAGGATGATGCTCTTATTTCAATTATCTGTACTCGATGCTCTCGATCTGGAAGAATTTTAGCGTGGAAGAGGGAGTTGGGATGGTGGGTGGTACAAGACATTTGCGCTTTTCCCACGAAGTGTCGGTAACATGTGTACAGACAATATTGAGAAACATTTTAGCGTGAAAGAGGTAGTTAGGATGGTGGGTTGGTGGTACTCGACTTGGGAAAAGACTTTGAGGCTGAGTTTGGAACCCGCCAATCAACCCCCATCTCTTCTATATCCAACCACCATGAGCAAGATACCCCCAGGGAAGCAACACAACATAATTCATGAAATAATCTCTATTACAAAATGTTAAGTTAATCATCCCGTGAAAATATCCGTAGCCAAAAAATCACAAGGTAGTTAACCGCCCCCCTGAATCCCCAAAACTCTATTTTCCCAACCGCCAACCCCCTTTTTGTTGCTGTGTTAACAAAATCCAACATATTTACCCACCCCGTCCGCCTTCACTCTACCCAACCCTCCCCCCCTCATCCCCGACCTCGGTCGGCACAGGCGTAGCTGGCACCTCCCCCTTAGGACTCAAACTCCCCTCCTCCTTCCCCCCTCTCCCCTTTCCTTCATCCTCCTCCTCAACCGGCTCCTCAATCAACATCTCCAAATCCCTATCCACCGCCTCCTCCACCTCCTCCCTCGTCCTCCTGCCCACAACCTCTTCCTCCTCCACCTCCTCCTCTTCCGCCCCAGCGTTAATCAACGCCTGAAACGCATCCGTCTCATCATGCTCCTGATGATGATGATGCGGGTGGTGCACATCCCCTAATAAATACCCCGGGTGCACCAAACCGTCATCGTGATGCTGCTGCTGCTGCTGATGATGATGATGATGATGATGATGATGGTGGTGCAAAGAAGATTGTATAATCTGCGGATCAATAGGCTGGTACACATCCGTCACTTGCACATGGTGATGTGGATGGTGGTGCTGATGGTGGGCATCATGATGCCCAGCCCCCCCCATGGCCGCATCAACACTAGGACCCGAACCCGTGTCGATTCCGTGACTGTGACTGGCTGATGATAAAAGCGATATCGTCGTCGGATCGGTATACTGCGGTGGTGGGTGAGGTTGTTGTTGTTGCCTTGGCACGGTAAACGGCCCCAAGTGGGGCGGGTCGGGTATTGGTGGCCTTGGCTGCTGCTGTAGTGTTGTTGTTGAGGAAGAAGACGGGGCGGCCACGACGACAGCTGTAGCAGTGGGACTGGGAGACGACCGTTTAGGATTGGGAGCTCCAGGTAGTGTTACAGAACTGGGTCGTTTTATGCCGTTGACGGCGGCAAGAGCAGGTGATGGTTGGGCAGCTGTTGTTTGCGAAGACTGTGAAGCAGCGGCAGCGGCAGCGGCAGCAGCAGCTGATGATGATGATGATGGCTTCCCCAGCTCTTTGCATTCTGTACAGTTCCTAATTACATCCGACACCGTCTCCTTGATCCGGCTCCAGTGGTACCGCTCCGCAATGGTCGCCGTCGTCTTGTTGATGCCGGCGTGGGCCTGGTTGTGCACCGTCCGCGCAATCTCGTACTGCCGCTGCGGGTCCGAGATGACCTCTTTATCCTTGAGCATCAAGACGTCGCCCTCCAGGAGCTTGTAGTGTGTCGCCGCGCTACGGAGTCTGCTTTTCTCGGCTCGGTCAGCGCCGTTCGGATAGCGGCCGTATTTGAGGTAGAACTTGATCTTGTCGAAACGCTCTTCACTCACAAGTTCCTCGTTGCCCGCGCCGCCCGCCGCGTCGCCCAGGTCGCGCCCGTAGATGATGGCGTCCACCAGCCGGTCCGGGTGGCTCTTGAGGTTGCCGGCGCCCTTGACCCGGCCGATCCGCTTGAAGCCGAGGGCGTCCCAAATCTTGCACGAGGCCACGTTGGTCTCGTAGACGAGGTTGAAGACGGAGTACTTGTAGCCCAGTTGGGGAGCCCACTCGAGGTACGTCTCGCCCATCAGCCGACCAACACCACGGTTGCGGGAGGCATCAGTGACGATGAAGCCCGCGTTGCAGATGTGGCTGCTGCGGCCGGGGTAGTTGGGCTTGATGTAGAAAGTGCCAAGGCACTCCTTGGACCAGTCTTTACCCTCGATCACATCGGCAGCGCTTTCAATGTTGCCCAGCAGCATGATACCGGCAAAGTTCTGGAACCAGTAGGCAGCAAACTTGTCAAACGACATGGGCTCCATCATGGGGTAGGTATCACCGCCCTCGATCTCTTTGCTGAACTGGTCGCTGAGATAGCGCAGCAATGACTCGGGTACCTCATCCCGGGATGCAAACGGAATGACGGTGGCCTCGGTCTGCCGGTCTCTAAGTGTCACATGGCGAGGGACAATAGAGGCCGGGACCGTAGGCTTCGCGGGATCCGGATACGGAGGGTCGCCCGAGATACGATAGATGGTCGGGGCGGCTGGGTCCTCCAGAATGGCCGGCATTGCTTCTTGGCAGGCTATGTTCGGTCCGGACGGTGTTCAATGCAGCGTCCGTCTGTGCCGGGTCAGATGTGAGTTATTAGCATCCTGTTCGTCTGTTGAGGTACTTTTGGATAAGATGTGAATGGTCATGGTGAGAAATGCATCTTGTATTGTCTTCCTCTTCTCTTCCTACAACGGTTCTCCTCCTCCTCCTTCTCCTACCTAGATTCCCAAAAGTTGAAACACCCGTACCTGGAAAGCAGAAGAGAGTGTTTGGAGGGGTACCTGAACAGCACGACTCAGGGACGGGTGGGTGTGTTCCTGGATGTCGGGCCGGTTCGTGCCCAATCAACGGGGGAATGCCGGTGTGGCGTGACGAGAACGACCGAAGTGCGGCGGCAGGGTGTTGGCTGTGACGTGACGGGAACGTGTCTGCTGTGCTGAAATGTGCGTGGTGATGATTTGTGCCTGGTGAGGGGAAATTCGCTGGAAAGGGGATACTGCGAAGATTTCGGGCCGCATTGGGGGGAGGGGGGCTTAGTCATGGTCTTGGCTGGTGGCAGCTGACAGCCCGGCAAGATGAGACGAACAGCTGCCAGGACAATATCAACGACTACAATCATTATCGACAGTGATTTGTTGACATCACGCCTCCTGAGGAGCTGTTATTTTGTTGTCTTTCAGCAAGTGTGCCAATTTTGTTCCTATTTTACATGTACATACAAAAGCCTCTAAAATACACATTCATCTTGAATTTTGATACAGAAAAGGAACACTCGCCCGCTAGTATTTGGACGGAACAGCCCCCTGACCAAACATCTCAGCGATAACCTCATCCTCCGTCATCAAATCAGCCGGCTTCAGCCCTCCCGTCTCCTTCTGCATATTCTCCTGTTTTTCCTCGGCTTCCCTCCTGATCTTGGCGTTCACCTTGCCGATAAAACTAAACACATCCTTGGGCGTCTGCCACTTCACAACCCCCTTCTCAGCATCCGCCAGCCTCCTCTGCTGCCCCCTCTCACCAGCCCGCCCCAAAACACCCGCAATAAGAGCCACAGACCGCAAACTATTCTCCCATCATTAGCAACCCATCCATCTCCCTCATTCAAGAAAAACTCACCTATCGTCATTCGCCGGAATCTGATACGTAACCCAGCTCGGATCAGCATCCGTGTCAATCACCCCCACCGTCGGCACCGTAGCCAGCGCACACTCCCTCAGCAACGCATAATTCTCCAACGGGTCACGCAAACCACCAAAATCCGGCGTCACCGGCCTGCAATCCCTCAAATGCTCCTCAAACCCCTC